GCTCAAGTACGGTGAAATGCTTTTACAGTATGATAATACAAGATCATTTATCGGATCAAAAAAGATTTTTTTTTAATTTACGTGCTATAAAATTAAACGAGATATAATAATGCAATCGTGCACTTCTCATTATATAACCTTCTTTGGGTTTTCGCACGCGAATAAAATATTTAAGATAGATAAAGATATCCATAGCGGACAGCCGAAAGTAAACTTATGGAAATTTTTATTAATTCCTTATAGATGAGAAAAAGCATTAGTCATTATTTTGCAAACTTACCTAAGAATAGTAACAATACCACTAGGCATGAGTTTTCCACTTTTATAAAAACGGGAGCCCATTACTACAAGTAGCAGAATCGAAATAACTGCAATAGAACAAAGGCACGTAACAATTGAGGTTAATAGAGAGAGGATGCGAAAGCTTGAATATAAACGATTTCTTACCTAGGGCCAGACCGACATCTTTCGAATTGTTGCTAACTCGATGTGCTCCATATGCCTATTAAATTAAGAGAATTCAATGATAATGTCCAAACTCAACCTCTTGATAAAGGATTCTTACAGCTAAACCACCAAATGTTAAGCCGGCCACTAATGAGCTTGTACTTCCTAAAATTGAATGATTTAAATAGAGCAATACTTATTAAATTTATATTATAGCATATTAAAAATTAATTACCGGCCTTCACGAATCCTACGATTCCTCCTAAACCAACGGTCTAAAAATTCGCATTAATAATGGATCAATGTAAAACATGAAATGGATAGTTAAATTTTACATTACAAGAGCATAACCGTATCCGATATAATCGGTCATGACGACTTCAAAGAGAATAAGTTGGTTAAAATCACGGTTCTAAAATTTACGGGCATGCAGTACTTATATTGCATCACGTGAATTCTGCAGGATTTTTAAAGCAGTAATTTATACGTGATATACTGCATCTAGTTTCGGCTTGTCAACTACCGGCGATGATTCCGAAGTGCAAATTTATCAAAGTCGTGATGTAATGTTAACTTTTGATTAATAAAGGTGGTACGCCATGTTAAAAAAATAATAACCGAGTTAATTAAATAATGATGATAAATTAGTTCAGATTAAGTTTATATTTTAGATTAATATAAAGCTTATATAAATAATCTCATTTTTAATTTTTAAAAGTAAATAGTTTTATAATACTGTATATAGCATAATCTATAAACTTAATATTACTATGGATTATTTATTTTAAAAAAACAACAATATTTCAATAATAATTTTTTTGATATTGTAAATTAGAAATTAACAATAGCAAAATTATAAAAGTTATTATTTTAACAGTAGTCATAAGGTAAAACCAAGACGTTCTTAATCACTTTTCAGAAGACATCAAGACAATAAGGTAAATTCTATTTATTAAACACCTTTCTAAGCCACCACATTGTTCAGTTATTTAATGCCAATATTTGAGTATTCTAGCAACATTTAGAGAAACAAGAGAAAAATGTGTCAGAAACATCAACATCAGTGTTTCATATTAAATAAAACTTGAATTTAAAACCAAACCGTGTAAAAACGACGATGTTGACTTTCGGTATTCCATATCAAACCATTTTTTTTTTTTTTTTTTTTTAGAATGACGCAACAATATTAAGAAAATTGTCATCATGAAAAAAAAAAAAAATAAATAAAATATTTTGCGGCACGAAATTTGGTGTTAAAGTTGCTTTTTCGGCAAACCATAATTAGAAAGCGGTAACCTTATCATCCACCGAAGAAGGTTTTGTATAATGCACGCTGGTACCTTAACAAAACTGATTTGTGGAGTCAGAAATAAGTATTAAATTTCTAAAAGTCGAATTATATCTATTACACAGCAGTTCTTATAATTACCTTCCATCTATTATTACAAACTGTGCAGGTAACAAAAGTTGTCATGGGTTCATCGGCACTGCGGGTCTGATAATTTATATTCATATTAACACAACACATATGGATAGCATGAGCGAGGTGCTAAAAGTTCTACGATGGTTACCTGCATCTGATAATAGGTGCATTTACGGTTTTGACACTTTCCACACCTGAACGCATCCGTCTCGGCCTGTATTTGTCCTGCGCCCCTTGCCTTAAAAAGGTTTGCCTGTCTAATTTCATTATTGCGGGCTTTTCGATCCTCGGAAACCATTTCCTTTTTTTTCAACGCAAGGTAATTAATTGTAAGAAGTGAAAAGGAAAAAAAAACGGTAACACGGTATTTCCAGGCGCTTCACTCATCGGGCATACCTCCTTAGACATGGTGCAAAACATCTCAACTGTCAACTCTCCGCTAACAACTCGTTTTCGAAGATTCGGATTACTTTTATCTTTGAGATTAAGAATTAAACTACGCAGTTTATCACGATAATTTCTCTCCGCTTTTCCCTCAAATTGGTTATGTATCGTCTGTTCAATTTTAATTGCTCGCGAAAGAATTATAGATGCATCTATGGTTATAATCAGTGAGAGATAAGGTGTAAAATTCATATAAGATAACATGATTTTCAATTATGGCGTCTTGAAATCAGCTTACGAACAGATCATGATAGTTACCAACGTTTGAATCGGTTACCAGAGCGTTATACACCAAGGATACGCATTTGTCGCGCACAGGATTATTTGTGGTGGCCTTAACTCCGTCGGATTCAAAACTTCGCTCACTATCAGGTGCCGATGGTGTTGTCGGTGATGAAATCGAACTTTGGGAACTTTCACGTTGAAGTGGCTTACTATTATTTATAGGCTTGGGTGGTTTTTTTCCATTTTCCTTGGGCGTTGAAGGTTTAATTGTAGATTTATTATCTGAGGAATCGGCCTTAACGGAATTCCCATTAATTCCATTAGGACGTGGGGAGGGGGAATCACTCGAACCAACCGCCGTTTTCCATTTTTTAACTATCTCTTTAGCAAGCTTCGCAACTTCAGCATTTTTGTGCATGCGCTGTTTCCCAATAAAAACGCCAATCTCTGTTGTCTGCAAATTATAGAATCGTCAACTGGGAATAAGTCCCTTAAGGTGAATTCCATCGACTTCTAAAGGTGGCTTACCTTCAACAGTTCTTTTGTAACGATGGCTCTTTCGTTAAGATTATTCATTATATCAAGGACAACCTTGTTTTCACACAAAATTATTTTAGCTTAAACCGTCGTCACCCAAGCCTTCAACAATACAAACTGGTAACAATGATCTGATAAAAATCCGTTAGATCAAAAAGGTGGTTTACTTACCGAAATCTTCTCATCCTTAAGAGCTTTAGAGAGTGACTTTCTTGCTTGGAGGATTTCGTCGACATCCATGATTACGATTTTGATTTTAAATAAAATTTCTTTTTGAATGTGCTTTTAGGAAGGAATTAATCCTAATATATACATATTCTATTAGTTGACAATAGCCAATAAAATTTTTCTGAATAGTTGATCGACACTGCATTATTACGCACCATCATTGACTACGTGCCATTCCACGCGTTCATTTTTTGGTGTTAATTAGAACTGGATAATTAGTCAATTAAAAAAAAATGAGTCTTTGGGTAGATAAATATCGACCTACTTCACTAGAAGAGTTGACCTATCATCGAGATTTGTCGCATTTGATTAAGACCATGGTTAATATCTTAAACTTCGGATATCAAAAATATGCGTGAAATTGAAATATTTTACCTCTTCTCAGACAAGCTCAGGTGATTTTCCACATTTGCTTATGTACGGCCCTTCAGGTGCGGGAAAAAAAACGCGGATCTACTGTATCCTAAAAGAATTATTTGGAACAGCCGTCGAAAAGGTATACTATACTGCATATCCATTCATTTGATGTTGGCGAATCTTATGTGATCATAATAACATCTCTAATTTATTGGTAGATTAAAGTAGATCAAAGAACATTTGTCACGCCTTCGAATAAGAAATTGGATGTAAACATAGTGTCTAGTGTGTATCATTTGGAACTGACCCCTAGGTAATAACTCCCGATCATTGTATTCACCATCGACGATTACCAACAATCACTAATTATCAACATCAATTCAGCGACGTTGGGAATTATGATCGGGTGGTCGTCCAAGAGTTGATAAAAGATGTTGCGCAAACTCAACAAGTAGATACAAAAGCCAAGCAACGTTTTAAGGGTATTGCATTTCACTCAAAAAACATTGCGTTTCCTTTCGTCGATTGATAGAATTTATTCTTTGTTAGTCATCGTAATCAATGAATCTGACGCGCTTGGTCGTGAAGCCCAAGCTGCGTTACGTCGTACGATGGAAAAATATGTTTCGAATATAAGAATCATTTTTTGTTGTAACACTACGAGTAGAATAATTGCACCTATTCGAAGCAGATGTTTGCTTGTCAGAGTGGCTGCGCCAACGGTCGAAGAGGTTGCCAATTGTAAATCTGTATTTTACTTGTTAAACTACAAAATGAAAGACTTACTTATTTTATTATTGCTGTTCAGATTGCCGGTGTTATTAAAAACATATCGAAGAAAGAAAATATCAGCTTGCATAACGATGTAGCAATACGTATTGGGGAAAAATCCGAGGGAAATTTAAGAAAAGCTATTCTGACGTTTGAATCCATGGTTATGCAACAGTTAATATCGTTTCTCTCTGGATATGACCGATTATTCAATTATTTAATTCTCATATTGAAAAGTCCTTTGGCCCTAAAGATCCAATTTAGGAAAAAACTCCGAGATACCATCACAAGATTGGGAGGGCTTTGTGGATAGTGTGGTCAGGACTATTATGAAGACGCAGACGCCCACAAAGTAAACGTTCTTCAGCACTTCTTTGCTATCTTGATATCACCCAACACTAATATTACGTTAATTTGATAGTGTACTAAAGGTGCGAGGGGATCTCTATGAATTGTTAAACCATTGTATTCCTGCGACAATCATTCTAAAGGTAAGTTCCTATATATGTTTTTCAAATTGATATAGCATTGCTTTACTTTAAATATCTTTGATTCTATTATAGAAATTGGCATTTGCTCTTGTTGAAAGTGTATCTGAAGGCATCAAGGCGAGCATCTGTGCGGAAGCAGCATTTTATGTATGTGAATATACCAAAGTCCACAAATTTCATTATTTAATTTACAAATTTCATTATTAACTATGTTCAATAATAAAAATAAAGGAGCATCGATTGAGGACTGGACAAAAGGCGATAATTCATCTTGAAGCATTTGTAATTAAAGTCATGTATTTGATATTAAGGTAAATTCCAGTACTTTTTCCTCGATATCAGTTGTAATCCTAAACTAATATTCGCCTGTTTTTAGTGACAAGAATAAAATCAGATGATAAGATGTAATCTGTGTAATTATTCATTATTCCCTCGAAATTCAATTTATAATAAAACATTTAATTTTTCTAAAGGTCGATATAGTTATAGTTATTCAGATGAACTTTTCAATTGATTTTTTTTTTTAAATTTGTTATAATGCATTCTAATATATTGATCACTTCACATAATTGGATATTTATACATCTGATTATTACTTTTGATAAGGATAGTGTTGGATTTTTTATTGTAATTTTAAAGTATATATGGATTTGTATTGATCTATCTTTGTAATGAAATTATGTTCTTTAAGAGTGTATTTTAAATTTGATTCTTAGGTTCATTACAAATTATGCAAAACAGCAGTTGGTTTTTTTTTTTAATTTACAATTATATTATCAGGATGTATTTTTATTGAGACATTAATATTATATTGATTATTATATAATAGTTAACTTATTATTCACTATTGATTAAAGGATGATACTATTTTAAAATATAAGTTTACTAAACCAGTTTTAATTAAACAAAACAAAATCTTAATTGGATATTTTAATTCAAATTCAAGAAACTATATTTTATTCTATTAATAAATTGATACAAAAAAACTCTGTTTATTAAGATTATTATCAATAATTTATTACTTTATATTATTATAAAAAATAATAAATTGATCCCCAAATTTTCAGAAAATTTCTTTTTTTGATAATTTTTTAAGAAAAAGAGAAACCAGCCAAAAAACAAGAGAAATCAAAAGAAACCACCTTTATAACTAAATAATTTACAAAAACAAGTTCAAGAATTCTTTACAGAGTACAGAAGAGGTAAGTTTTACAAAAATTATTAACTTCTATTATATAAATTTTTTCTTTTAGAAAGAGAAAAACAACAAGAAAGACTGATTCACAGTAAGCTCTTGGAAGCCCAACATCAACCTCACAAAGCTTCTAGCCAGGCCAGCGCAGGTTAACACCTTTCTAGATACCAAGAGAAGCTTTACAAGCAATAACTCAAATCGATAAATCAGTCCAAGTCCAAATACACATAAAATCTAGAGGGATGTCCAAGTTTCATTGACTATATAGTAAAGAAGCATACACATTACAACAACAGCATTTCAATAATATTACGTCACGCAAATACAGACACATACTGTATATTTTTCACAACAAGCTCAAAGATGTATCAAATAAACAACATTAATACACTTTCTACGTATTTACGTGAATCAATTATCAACAATTCCATAACCTCATATGTTTATATAAATTGATTATTAACAACCTTATAATCCTACGTGTTTATTATTGATTGATCAACAATATCAACAATACCATCACAACATACACGTACAACAAATACTACCAACACATTACAACAAACAACAAGGTTTTTTCATATTACCAAAATAATAATAAAAAATAAACAAACCTGTAATATGTGTCTAGAAAAATATAGCAACAATCATCTGCAAAACACAACAATATCAAATATAGTCAATTTACTTCCTATCACATGATCAACATGTCTATGAGAAAACACAAGCTTTTATAGGTCACTAAGAAAAGAGAAGCATACATTATAGAGACCTTAGCTCAATTATCAGATAAGTATGATTAACAACAGAAACTATAGGCTATACAAACCCTTCTTAATATTACTTCAACTCAAGAAGTCACTATGAATCCAATCTCAGGTCCAATCCAATACTCGATTATAGATAGTATCATTGCTAGAATCCTGAGTGTTGATCATATTACCTTTATTAAAGCCAATATTCTTAGACAACACATCCTTTATCTATGAATCAAAGGACAAGGAAAAGAAGAAGATCTTCTAGCTCCATTTTTAGAG